ACGTATACTGCTTTGCGTGCAAAGTTTTCGGTGGAGAAAAAACAAACAACAGCCGCTTCGTGAAAGGATATGGTAACTGGCGATGTCTGTCAAGTAGATTAAAGCAACATGAAACAGGACCCAACCACACTGACGCTTACCTAGCATGGAAAGAACGTGAAACTAGGTTAATGCATTGAAAATCAACTACAAGCTGCGACGGAAGAAGAAAGGACGAGATGGAACCAAGTGCTGACCAGGGTAGAGGAAGTTACCTTTACGAGGTAAAAATGCCCTGATCGGAAATCCAAGAAATGGAAACTCTATTGGATTAATCAAGCTTTTAGCCCGTTATGACACGGTCATGGCTCAGCACATTCAAAAAATATCGACAGTAAAAAAGTGTGCATATTTAAGTTGGTGTACACAAAATTAATTCTTAAAATGCATTGCAGATTGTGTGTTAGATAAAATCAGCAAACAAGTGAGAGATGCGAAATATTATGCAGTTGAATTTGACTGCACGCCCGACATATCCAAGCAAGAGCAAGCTTCAATCATAATTTGACATGTTGACATTGATGAGAACAAAGTAGCTAAGATAGAGGAATCGTTTGTGGGATTCAGCGCAGTTACTGACACAACAGGTCAAGGACTTGCGGAGACTTTAACTGCCACATTGGAAAACCTAGGGATTGACCTATTGAATTGTCGCGGTCAAAGTTATGATAATGGATCAAATATGAGAGGAATTCACAGAGGAGTACAAGCTTTAATTCTGGAAAAGAATCCAGATGCATTGTTTATGCCGTGTGCGAGTCACAGCCTTAATTTGCTCGTGCGATGCTGCCTCATCAAACAGAGCATGTCTGAATTTTTTCTGAACTGTTCAAAGACTGTATACTATGTTTGCATCTTCAGGGAAACGCTGGGACATTCTGAAACAGTTTGTGGAGATAACATTAAAACCCCTCAGCGATACGAGATGGGAGGCAAAACTGGACTCGGTCAAAGCTCTGAGGTATCAACTCGGTGGGGTACTCGACGCTTTGGAAAATCTTGAACGTGAGTCTAAAGATGGCAAAATTTCTTCAGAGGCACATGCACTGTCCAATAAAATACAGACTATGGAATTTATGACTTGTCTTGTTATTTGGAATGACATGCTGACCGAAATCACACGCGCCAGCACAGCCATGCAATCTGCCAACATTTCTCTGGATACAGCTGGTTTGTTGATTGACAACCTGAAAAAGTTATTTTCTCAGTACAGAGAGGATGGGGTTGATTTTATATTTCTTTATTGTTGTAATATGGTACTGAGAATAGAAAGGAAAACTGTTACAAATAATTTTAACTGTTAAAAATTATTTTTGTAATGATGATTAAAAAACAATGAAATAAATAATAAGGGTTGTATAGTAGACTAGTTAAAACTGCAACGAGAGGCACGGTTATATATTTATGTATTCAAGTTAACTAAAACTGAAACAAAAATGCTAGCTTGTATTTATTTGAACAATGTCTAGAAACTTGGTATTACAAGCACTTCCTGTGTCAGTCATTTGCCTCATTTCAGGTCAAATAAAGAAATACAGTTCCTTTAAAAGAATCACATTTAAGAAACACATCACAGCAAATAGATTCACATCACTTTCCTAAGTCTGAAAGCCTTTTATATTTTACAGAATTCAAAACTTCATTATACTGAAATATTCAACTGATAGCAAGTATTTATGATCTTCAGCATGTGAAGATATTACTCACAAAGATTTGATCATGACACACACTGGATAAACTCTAAAGAGCAATAAATAAAACACATGTAAGGTTTTGGAGGTCTTTAAATATGTGTTTTATTGGTCTTCAGTGTTTGATTCATGGTTTTCTAGCATTATACTTGAGAAAGCTTCAATTCAAGTTCAATTCAATTGTTCAAATTTCCCCTGAAGAAATCCTGATGTTGTTCTTTGACTTGATCATAAACTCAAACCTCTTATAGCACTGACCAGGAAGAGACTGACCTGTTATTGCTGTTATTCTCTACTGAAAAAAGCAAGGATCAGCGAACAGTGAACGAAAAGAAACACTTTCCAGAATGATCTTTTTGTTAAGACAGCAGATCATTGTGATTTTTGTGGTTATTCATTTTTGAAACCATTGTTCATAAAGTGAAAGTCAGGCAGGCTTGTGTTAAAAAAAAACTAGTGCGAGTCGTTCCTGAAGGAGAGAAATGAGAGGCGTTCACCAGGATCTGAGGAGATCTGCAGTTTACACAGTGAGAAACTCAAACTCTTCTGTCTGGAGGACAAACATGTAGCATGCAGAGATTCACAAAAACACGTCAATCACACATTCAGACCCATCACTGAAGCGGTTTCTTCATATAAGGTAAGACAGATGAATATCTGAGGATAAAAACATATCAAGAAATTTCTAAGCACCATTTTGCTCAAGAACTTATGATTACAGAGATCTCTGGTGTCTTAAAGATTTTCACTTTAAATTCCAGGAGGAGCTCAATACAGCTCTGAAGTCCTTACAAGAGAAACTTCAACACAAAGAAAACATTAAAGGAGAGTTTGAGAAAACACTTCAACACATCAAGCTGAGGATCAATTCTTCTGACATATTCACACATTTGATTAGAACAGCTGAACTTTGACAATTCAGGCCCTGAATTTCGTTTTGGAAATGGGGAGGAATTCCCCACTTAGGTGACTCGTATGACATTACAGTTTTCTTCAATTGCTAACAAGCATTGTTCAATACTGAAGCCAAATTTTCAAAACTGTTCATACAGTCTTCTACTTTTCCAGTTACCGATACATACTGATAGCTATGTACTACAGTTTTTTTCCATTGCTAACAAGTTGTTCAAAACTGAAGCCACATTTTCAAAACTGTTCATACAGTCTGCATTACCAACATGAATCTTGGCCAAACTGTTTATCTCACCTCCAAAACTCACTCAGACCAACAAAACACTTCATATATGTCTCAAAATAAGCTTGTTTCACCATAACACTGGCCACAATTCTCATTCAGAAAACATTTCATTCATAACACACTGCCCAAAAAAACACAAACAACATGAAGCATTACATAAACTATGAACTTTTATCTTTGAAGTTTGAATGATTTGTCTCATAAGTATTTCATTATAGTATAATAACATCTTTTAATTTTACTGACTGTATTACTGCACAAAGAATGTAGGAGAAAAGCACCTTACCCCACCCCCGTTCCCCCCATTTCTTTACCTAAAACAAAAAACCCATCAACACTTACAAAATTTACTTATTAAATTTTACAACTTTATTTAAAAATGTTAAATTAAAACTTAAAAAAAGAAAAGAAAAAACAGCAATAACATGTCTAATGAGATATGTTGAGTATTGGAGTCCCAGCTGCTCCAGGCCTTTCTCTGTGTGCGTGTGTGTGTGTGTGTGTTTGTGAGAGAGAGAGAGTGTGTGTGTGTGTGAGAGAGACAGTTTATGTGTGTGTGTGTGAGAGAGAGAGAGAGTGTGTGTGTGTGTGTGTGTGAGAGAGAAATATGTATGTAGCAATAATAAATTGTAAGTGTATTTCCTTAATTTCTCCAATTCCGAAAGCAGAACCGATAATGTCAGAGTTATCAATACTACGGTATTTCATAATTCAGCCCCAGGGCTACTTTAATACCAGGATCTGATACCATCCATACTTACAAGAGAAGCAAAGAATGATCAGTTGCAAAGCTACATGACAGTATATGTTGTATCTGTGTTTTTTTAATATGTCATAAGTGGAAGAATAATTAGTAATTTTAAAAACAACAAAGAACAAATTAAAAATAAATCTCAGTATTTCTTAAAAGTGTTACAGCCTTTTCTTCAGCTTCCTGAATAAGAACAGTTTGTAAAAAGCTTCTACTTTCCTTCATGAAAGAGTAAGCAAACTACAAATGACACATATGCATTGTAAGTAGAGCCCGACCGATATGGGTTTTTTGGGGGGCGATACCGATATTAGGGAGTAACAAAAGGCCGATATTCTTTGTGTATATTATAGTACAGTACCAGTCAAAAGTTTGGACACTTTCCCATTCGTGTGTCCAAACATTTGACTGGTACTATATATATATATAATACAGTATATACATTAACAGAATATATATACTGTACATAAACACATTTTTTGCAATGATCACTCAAATGTGGTGATCAAACACTTATAATGGCGTGACAGAGATATATAATGG